ATATTACTATATTTTCACAAAAAGATGTACAAGTTATAAGTTCTTTGTAAGGTATATAACCGGAAAAAGAAATGTGTCAAATAAAACAAATATTAATTGAAGGTACTTCACTATCCGAGAGTTAGTTCAAGTGGAAGTACTGAAAAGGACAAGGGGTAGGCCCAAAAGGACGTGGTTGGAAGTAGTCCGAAAAGATATTGGGACTTATGGCTTTACTGAAGATATGACCTTTAATAGAGTAGAATGGAGAACCAGGATTCATGTAGCCAACTCCAATTAATTGGGACAAGGCTAAAATGATAATGATGATGAAGGTACTTTACTGATTTAGTTCTGTGGCTTCCTTTTGATTGTGCTTGGACCCTGCCAACTTTGCATGCGACTCAAATTTCACCAAATATGCTTCCAAGCCTCCTTTGGAGGTCACTTATACCTGTCTGGCTGTGCCTCATTGGAGTTGCATAACCTACGGACCCAAGAATGTCAAAAATGTCATGGTTCCTAAACAATCTCCCAACTCTTATGTTGCTGCAAGAACTCCCATCGAAATTCCATCAAAATTCAATTTTATTGAGTTGACTTGGAGGTGGGATCCATTTAGATGATCAAATTGTTTGCAGCTTTGAGCTCTGAGTCCAAGCAATAGAATGCCATTTATTGGCATTGAATGTGAATTGAACAGTTGAAAGCGTCAAAATCCTTCCTAACCATCGCCCGACTGATGACCTTAAGTTTAATCTGCTCAATCATTGCTGGGGCGCTAAGGCTTTAGCCTTGGAAGATTATCTTGTTTTGCTATAGCCAAATTGACCAAATAATTGATGAAATTGTAAATCTCCATAGAATTAGGCTGGGAAAAGGAATCATTTAATGACTAAGGAAGGACCAACTGAAACCAAAAAGCTGTAGGAATGCAAAGCAAACTCACATTAGATCAGTAAGTGGTGTACCAACAAATATCACATCTGTTGGTTATAGAGAAGCCCCCATTGATGAGATGATCCGTTTGGAGAATTTTATCTGTGAATGTGAAGGCCTGTATCCTAGGTGGTCCCGCTATTTGCCACAATTTCCTTAACAAGGTGGGATGATCAATGTTCTAGTGATGGCTTCATATGAGGAGTTCACGAAAAATATCTCTTCTCCTCACCATTTTATCTATGGATGTGTGCTGGGTATAGACTGTGTTAAGTGGCTCGAATAGATGTGCGAGTCAGCCGTTTCTGCTTCATCTTTCAGGTTGCGCCTAAAGCATGGTCCCCATATCATTTGGACCCCTATCCAGTCATACATTGCTAAGATCAAGGCTTTTGAGTTGGAGGCAATGGAGAATAAATTTGGATTCCTATCTTTTGAGTAATCAGTTTCAATCCACAGATGATTCAGAAAGCTGGTTGTGTTGCCAGTACCTGCTTGGAGACTGAGGTGGTTCAAAAGGTCTCCTATTCATGTTACCTTTCCAGGCACTTGGGGCGCGCTTGGGTCCAAGGAGAAGTTTTGCCATTTAGTGGATGCACCATATTTATGCACCAATTGCTTCCTTAAAAGATCCCTTCTCTCACCAATTAGCCACCAGCATTTGCTGATTAATCTTCATTTACTTCCTTGATGTGTTGAATATGCAAATTCCCAATCCTTTAGGCAAGCACACTTGTTCTATTTGGGTGAGTGACGTTTTTGGTGATCTGCCATACCCTTCTAAAGGAAGTTTCTTGTCAGCCTTTAAATTATTCTCGTAAAACCCATGGCAGACTAATTCAGTTTCTCTTCAGCCTTTAAAGTATTATCATACAACCCATGGCAGACTGATTCTTAAGTTCATTATAATATTATTGGACTTATTCCAATGCTTGTGGCTTTTGTAAGTACACATTAAATATTGACTAATGAATGTCATAAGGTGCTAACCACCCACTAGTTTTTTCTATGAAAATTTTGTTGCTTGTATCCTTATTGACAACCTCGAGAATTTTCAAGGCTTCTGCTCAATGTGGGCTTTGCAATATCTATCAAGAAAGGCGATTTATTATGTCTAGGTTGGGCATGCTGTTCACGTGGTTCATTGATGTTTTCAATGTATTCCATCATTCTTCATTCTTGAATCTTTGTGAACTTTCCACATACGACAATGATACTACTGTTAAGATCTTGTAGAAATCAATAAGATGAAACAATCTTAATATTCCTTCTTGTATTGTATTTGTAAAGGGAAAATATATGTATAGAGTACCTATGTGAAATCCAAGGTAAGCCAGTGTGGACAGCATAGTAGGGATGGCCTTGGCTGGGTTCTTAGGTCCTTTGCGTGACATGGGGTGTTTTCTATCCTCTGTAGTTGATAGAGGGCTTTTTGATCGGCCACGCAGTTTTCTTGTACTTTTGTTCAGTCCCTTGATTGTTGAAATGATTGTCTCAATGGAGATGGATGGCTTGTAATGAGCGTCCCTGTTTATTGGCTAACAGTATGGAGGAGATCTTTATGAGAAACAGGTGTGGGGGATGGGGGGAGATTTCTATCTCTTAAAGTTTCCAGAGGAGCCAGCAGCAAGGCCGACTCTCTTGCCAAGAGGGACTTCTGGGGCCCTCCTTTTTGGTTGATTCTAGGAGTCTTCTTTGTCTTTGAATTGTCCTCCTCTTTCTTTGCTTTTCCAGTATTTGTCTCCCTCTTGTAATTTGATATTACTTTTGAACTTCTTTCTTGGTTAAGTGGAAAAAATGGTGGGAGCATGGTTCATTTTCAAGGAAATTTTCCAATTTCTGAGACCTTACCTTTATTGAGCAAACTATGTCTACTCCTGTGCATTACTCTTTAAATTTCTTGTTGGTTGTCACTTATTGTTTCTGGTTTGAATGTTATTACTAATAGTACACAGCATTTTGGACTTGTGTGCCATATTTAGGAGGATTCTAGGATGCCCTTTTAACCTATATGCTGTAAAATCTGATTTTTACAGCTTACGAGTATACTCTGGAAAACTTCACATTTCAAAAATATGATTAGCTGAACCATTCGGGAAAATTAGGTGTGGCACCAATTTGCGATAAGATGAGAGAGAGTAGACTTAGGTGGGCTGGTCATATGTGGCGTCGACCCAGTACAAAACTTGTTAGGAGGTGCAAGTTAGTTCAAATGGAAGGGTTGAAAAAGGCAAGGGGTAGGCCCATTTTTGTTATGATATATTTTACTAGTGCATGTATAATATTATACTAATTATTTTTTTTGTAGTATTTGTTATAATCACCACAACTGAAACACTTCATTACACTTGCCTTTTCATTCTGACATTGTGACATTTTGATGCAACATTTGACCCCTCTTTTTTTTGTTGAGTAATGAGTATGCAACCAAAGTTTTATGGAAATCTTGTTTTTTTTTTTTGGCTTTGAATCTTTTAACTTTGTATTAATGGAAAAGGTGTACAAGTTACAAATGATGACCACCCATATTCTGGGTGCAGTATACCTGTTATGGAAATCTTTTTTACCCAACTTTTCCTTTTGGGAAAAGAGAAACAGCCAACAAGACAAAATGGGAGGGAAAAAATATTAAGGCATAACTTTTATATTTAACACGTGGCTTTTATTGCTAACGATTAATGTAGCAAGCCACATCGACCCTATAGAATTCACTACCCCAATTGACCCTGTCGAATTCTTCCTTGCTTCCAGGTTTACATCCTTGACTTCCCTTTAACTTTCCATTGAAGTTGGGCATGACAACTCCTTCAGGCACTTTCATTTCTCTCTAAACCTCTGGTCGGGAAGCAGCTTCCCGACCCTTATGGTTCCCACCTTTTTCTTATACACAAAAATCACCGCTCATGAAAGTGTGCTTAATGTACTCCCTCACACACTCTTTCACTACTTCCTAACTTGTTATTGACCGTTCAATTCTTTCTTTTTTCTTGAATTCATGAAATTGTGACGCAGCTTATCAAGTGTACAATGAAAATTAGATGTTGAGGGACAAGGAATTTGTTAGCTTGTTTCAGCTTGCCTGCCATGTTGGGAGATATGGAAACTACATTATTTTAACATGACCAAGTGCCTCAACATAAATACCCATTATTTCAACAAATTACCTAAATAACCCCCTTTAAGAAAGCATTACTTATTAAAGGAATGGTGAACCGTCAGTCATTTTTGTGTAGTGTTTTTTTTTTTCCGGAGTTGTTTTATAATTATCTCAGCACCACTGAGTTTTCCAATTCTCGCCAGCCTTGTCTGCATTCAAGTTTGGCTTACTTCTGGGCCATGCTTCTCTTCACCTCGGTTAAATTTTCTTGATTCATAGATTTTTTCCATGAAACAGGCCTTAACTGCTACTTCGACATTGCCTACAAATATTTGGCTATGTGCTGATTGGTTCCTGCCCTTTGTTGTTTGTTCTGCAGGTGGCTGAGCGGGCATTGTTCTTATGGAACAACGACCATATTCTAAATTTGATCAAACAGAATCGAAAGGTGATTTTGCCCATAGTCTTCCCTGCACTGGAGAGGAATACAAAGAACCATTGGAACCAGGCAGTTCAAAGCCTAACACTAAATGTCCGTAAGATCTTCTCAGACCTTGACCATGAGCTCTTTGAGGCTTGCTTGGCCAAGTTTCGAGAAGACGAAGCCAAAGACGAGGTAATACAAGAGAAGCGTGAGGCCACTTGGAAGCGGTTAGAAGATGTCGCGGCCTCGAGGGCAGTGAGTAATGAAGCTGTGCTCATTCCTCAAACTGTCCCTCTCTCTAAAGTTGCAGGAGGCCAAAGAGCAAACATCGGGGGTTAGAAGAATTTTTTTGGCTGCCATGTGTCTTTAGTGAGAGATGAGCTTTTGCTCTTTGGGTTGTGGTGAGCTCGTTGAGCTTCAATTGTGGTTTTGGATTCTCAGTCCCCAAAGGAAAGCACTGTACAGGATGAGTGTATTAGTTGCTTGCTTGCTCTGAGGCCTGAGGTCTTGTGGTTGCATTCACAATGGCTGTATATATATGTATGCTACATGAACTCTCTCTCTCTACTCTCTGCTCTCTATCCCTCTCTCTACAGTTGTGTATTGTCTTTAGACATGAGAAGCAGTGGAAGTTTGAAGTTGGTGGTCTCCCACAATCATAAAGAGGGAGAATTTTTAGGTTCCCAAACTAGATGTTTGAGACTAGAATTTCCTTGATTGATTGAGAGGAAAACGCTCTTTTCATTTTATTGGTGTGTATCTCTTGACCGATGCTTGGATTGCCTCAGTTTATATTCAATTTGTAATCGGTATGGCATGTCTATCTATCTCCAATGTCAGGGAAACACATCGAAAATAATGTGGGCTTATTGTCTTAAAGCCATATAGCTGACGTTAGGGCGATTACACAGAAGTGTCACGACTTGGAACATTCTCTCATTTGGCAGGAAGGGGTGTGTGTGTGTGATTGAGAGAGAGAGAGAGAGGGAGCCTTGAAGGGGTGGGTGTGTGTGTGTGTGAGAGAGAGCTAGAGCTTTGAAGGGGTTGTGTGTGTGTGTGTGTGTTTTTGAGAGAGAGAGAGAGGGAGTGAGTCTGAGATTTCTTATTTTCTGTTTACTCATAGTGAAAGCTCTCTGAACTTGTACCCCGGGTGGTTCCATTTTGTACTGGTTTGAAGCAGTTACCGGTTTTTGGAGAACTGTTGAGATTGATGCCATCTAAAATTTAAGTCACAGGCAACTGGAAACTCGATTTAAAATGAGAAGGAACAATCGACATTATGCTCATATTATATTTGGCGTCTAACTTGAAATCGAAACAAGGATATGATCCTCGTGGTCTTAGAAACACTTTGGAAGAAGCTTTAGCTGACCAAAGATGGTAAAGAGAAAAATTATTCATAGCGAAAGATGCATGAGTTCACCTGGTTCCATGGATTTAGAATCGATTTCAGTTCGCCTGGTTCCATAGATTTAGAATCGATTTTAGTTCACCTGGTTCCATGGATTTAGAATTTGAAATCGATTCTGAAACACTGAATACATTTCATGAATCTGTAGCTTGAAAAATGATGCATATGTGATGATCTGCGAAGAATCTGAGTAGTCCAAAAATGTGCGAATTTCAGCTCTTTTAGATTCATTATCATGTTAGTAAAAATTATCGATCTATGAAATTTTGGATTTAAAATCCATTTTTAAGATTAATTTTGGAAAGTGGACACATTTGAATAGATGCATTGGTGGACGCAGTAAAAGAAATTGGCATTGCTTTATGAGATCTTAATGAGATTGAACCGGTGTAATCAAGTTCAAACTGGCCACCGAAATCAAACTAGCCACCGAACTGGTGAAATAACTGGCGAAATGATTGATTTAGCCAAAACCTGACTGACCATTGGTTAAATCAGTTTGTTCAGATTTTAAAATATAAAACAAAGTATGGATAATATTTTAAAAATATGCATTTTATTATAAAAAAAAATGTCTGATTTTGTTTGGCAAGTCGAACTGATTAAAAGCGGTAGGTTGGATCTGCCAAAACTGATCGAACATGGATTATGACTTGTTTTTTATCAAAACAAAATTTTACTTTGGATCAGATCGATCAACGGTCTAAATGATCGAACCACCACTTCAGTAGGGTATTTATACCTGTGGAAAGAGGCCCATCGAGGTACCCCTTTAAGAGGCTCAATCTAATTATTATCTCGGCACGCCTTAGGGAACTTGAGAAGTTATCAGTTTGTGTATGGGAATTAATATGGTAGAGAAGATCTCGATCAAATTTGAGAGTAATAGATTTTAACAAGATACGTTCCAATAGGCCTTGCTGTTATTTAAGCATTACTGCTATTTTATTGTTCTCCCATCCCTCTCCTCCCCAAGTAGAAACTTTCTCCTCACCAACCAAATATATATATATATATATAGTACCATCCATAAGGCTGCTATAGTCACCTCATTAAGTGAGAATGTATTGAAATTTCTGCATGGGGATGTGATGCCTGTGGTGTGTCAATTCTTTGCTCGAAGTCTCAAGGGTTTATTATTATTATTATTATTTTATTTTATTTTTACAAACTTTGAGCAAACATACGACGCAAGGTGGACTTTAAGGTGAGGAATGACACACCCCATCTGTCTGACATTGGACATGGTGATGTGAGTAGAGGAAACTCGAGAGCAACTATCTTTTATTTGATAAACTTAAGTAGGGATGGCCAGTTAGCCTGGCCTTGGGCTTGAGGACCAGGCCCAAGCCAGGACACAATAGGGTGGGCTGATGTTTTCTCTTGTTTATTTATTTATTTATTATTATTATATAAATATATTATTATAATTAATTTTTTTGTACTTCCAATTTTTAAAACCATTTATTAAGAGATCTAAAATTTCAAAACTTTTATTACGGTATAAAATTCCATGCTTTTGTATCTTCCAATTCCCAAAACCCAAATAACCCTATTTCACCACGTACTATTGACTCAAACAAATCATAAAGTGACGCATGTTTCTCTTTCTTCTTAATGTCCTCTCTCTCTTTATATAACTTCTCTTGTTTTTCTTTCATCTTAATGTCCTCTCTCCATAACGGCTCTTTGTCTCTCTTAAGATGGGGAATAACATCTCTCTATCTCAACGGAGAGAAATGTCCACTTCTTCCCTCTCTCTCAAGACTGAACAAAACGTTTCTCTCCTCTTCCTCTCTCTTTAAAAAAAACCCACTGAGCTCTCAAGCCTTGTAGTCTCTCTCAAAAGCCCCAAATCTCAACAGCCTCTCTCTCTCTTTCCAAAAAACCCACAGATCTCTCAAGCCTTTATTATGGTCTCTCAAAATCTCCAACTCTCTATGTTTATCTCTCTCTCCTCTCTCTCTCTCTCAAAAATCAATAGAACATCCGCTGCTCAACTTCTTGGGGGGATCTTTCTACCCCCTCTTGCCGCTTCTACAAGTAAAAGAGCTAATGACCCACCATCAAGAGCAGGTAAAGGAAGCACCGCAAGATTGAGATTAAGAATGACTGCAAATTGATAGAGGCCATCAATGCTTGATCTTGCAACCTTTGCTCCTACAGCAATAATGGCTACATGCCCTGAAACCTTGCTGGCTCATTGTGAAAAATTGAAAAATGTATGTTTCAAACTATCCAACACATTCATAGAAAGACCCAAAAACTCCCTGCTAGCATAGACCGTAGTCTCTGTGGGATTTTTGGGTTTCAGCTTCGGAACTCTAAAATTAGCAGACAATTGAGAATCCCAATCCTTCTAGTTCCATCCGAATTAAAATCTAGAGTGCCCCCAATTTTCAAAATCTCATTTTCTCTCTCTACCTTTATCGCGACGCTCCTACCAGGGATTTTCTTTATCATATCAACACCTTAAAAAACAGAGACACTAAGAATTATATCCCAAGAGCATAATCCTTCAACAAATTTTCATATAACTAGTACCTTGTTGATAATTGGTCTATCCTTTAACAAATTCTCATTATCAACTGGGATATTACTCTCAGGATCATTGCCTTAAAACCCACAAAACCAGCTAGAGGAAGAGCCCTGATAGATAACTCCATATTCTTGGCATTGAATTCCGCTAACACATGATTGAAACCCACAGCAAATATACTCACATGGATTCCTTGAAGATATGCATCCAAAAAATGCCCACTCTCATACTATGATAATGGTGGTCAAGACTACAACTGCTTTTAAGAGCAGATTGGGGTTCCTCTAAGCTTCCAAGAGAGAGGCATGCAATGGTGGAGGGCCTCAAATCTCTGTTGGAGATGAGGTAGGAATGGGATTTGAAAAGATGAATTTGAGCTTTTGAGGCCATTCTGGAACTGATTTTGCAGAAGAGAGCTTCACAAATGAGAAGCCAAAACTTAGCCTTAAGAGAGAGAGAGGAGAGAGAGACATTATGCTTTCTCTTACAAAAGAGACATAGAGAAGTTAATAAAGAAAGAGGGACCTAAAGTTTAAGAGAAAAATGTGTTATTTTCTGATTTGTTTGGATCAATAATGTGTGGTTAATGGGGGTTATGTGAGTCCAAAGGGGTTGGAATATACAAAAGATTGAAACAACTTATACGGTAAGAAAGGTTTTTAAACCTTGAGCCTTCTAAAAAATGAGCTCCAAAAGCAGGAGGTACTGAAAATTTTTCTCTATTATGATTATTATTATTTTAATTGTGAATGTATTAGGCCTTGCCGGCCTGAACCCGGCAAAGTAAAGCTTGGGCTAGGCCCCTTCAGCCAATCCAAGCACGGATTGGTCAGGCCTGGTGCCAGCCCTAAACTCAGGTTTAGGATTTTTGTCTGCCTCCAAAGAACTTGCCCTCTAAGACCCACATCTAGTCCATGTGCGATGCTAGGGGAGTCAAAGAAAAGCTTTTTCTTATCAGGCTTTTGTGGTCCTTGTGTATTAGAAAAATGCAGAGAAGAATTTAAGGTATTTAGAAACAAAGAAGTGATAGTTTGCATTAGTTTTATTTAAATTGATGTACAAATTATATATACTTTAGTTGAAAGTGGAGCTACCTAAGATGTACGTCACTTAAAAAATCTGTGTAAAACTAAATTTGGAGTTTAAGAAAATCAAGGGTCCACGGCAGCTAAAAACTGTAGATTGTCTTTCTTCTTTCCCTAGTTGCATATTAATATCAACTTTTTTATTATATCTCTATCACACAAATTTAAAGTTAGTTGTATTTTTAAGGAAAATGTTTATAAAAGATTGCTGCCCTAAACAATCAAATTAAAGAGCACTTTAAAAATTCACTAGAAGAGGTTCTTTCTTCGACAAAAAAAAAAATAGATTTTAATTTTAAAAAATAATACATCTTGTAATGCAATATCCAGGCTGTTGATTTTCAATATTTTCAAGTGTTTATATATTTACTCAATTTACACTATTTTTAAGCTTTAAATTTTATTAATTAAATAAAAATAAATTCATCACAAAGAGTTTTACTGCTGAATAATCATCTTTCAACTCTATTCAATGGTACACCTTATTTTTTATTCTTTAGGGCCTCAACCTTATACAAACCGCACCCTTTTAATAAAAATGCAATTAACTAATAAATTAATAATAATGTTTTTATATCATATGCATTCTCCACAAAAAGCGCCTAATAGCTTCTTTTACATTACTCAAGAATACCTCAAACCTACTCGTAATTTCATCAAAAACTGACCAGGGGTAATTTGAAAATAATAAGAGTATATTGAATTGAATATGACAATATTCCAAGCAACCCGTATGAACAAGGTTATCTTTAAGAATTTGTTCCTGTATTTTGCAATTGACTTTTATTTTTAATTTTTAATGGAAACCCAATTTACACAAATTTTATTAAGGTGCAAAAAATAAAATATTAAAAAATATTTTGCCAAGTGAAAAACCAATCAAACGACCCCCACTTTTTTCTGGGGTAGTTTGGACATTTTCTAGGTCTCAAAATATTTTTAAATATTTTATTTGGATGCACCATACTAAAATTAGATAAACCCCAAAATTTCATGTGAATCATATTTATAGAGTAAAACAGATTATGTCAGGACTGAATGGCCTTAAACTAGAAGCATGTCCGGAGCTGAAAGGAAAACATTTAAACTACAATATAACCCAGCTCTGTCCCCCTCTTACTCATCCTTGTCTGTATTTATTCTACCTCATAAACAGTAAAAACCACATACTGTGTCAAAGACTTAAAGATTTTGGTCATGTTATAATGCTATTAGATTGCCATGAATAGAACAAAAAAAAATTCAGATCATATTCAATCAACCAGTGACCCCTTTTGAATGAGAGGCTGGCTCATGAGGTCAGTACATAAACCATTCTGTGAACAGGATCTTCTCTGCCTTTTACAGTCATTTCCCAGCTTCTTGCTTCTCCTCCTTTCGTTACTCAACGCACTCATGCATATAGTTGATAACTTAGTATCATTATAGACTATGATTCGGATTTTTCCATTAGATTTGACCTAAGGGAAAAAAAAAATTCTCATGATAACTGAATCAGCAAATGACACCATGTGAAAGAGAACCGCATCACAAGGGTATGCGTAGAAAGCACTTCCTCATAGGCGATTCTGCCCCACAGAGTGACCACCTCTTTTCCTTCTCTCTTAACATGCCCATCCAGTCCCCCCACCCTTCCCCCCTTCCTTACCGCCCCCTCCCCCCCCTCCCTCTCCCCTCCCCCTTTTTTCTCCTCTTCTTCTCTACTGTGTATTTCTTTTTCTCTTCTTCCATACCCCTTTTTTCTCCTCTTCTTCTCTACTGTGTATTTCTTTTTCTCTTCTTCCATATTTTCATGTATGATCACGTGACAGACATTATGCGGCTCAATCTAAACACCAGAGCCTTTTTCTCCTCTTCTTCTCTACTGTGTATTTCTTTTTCTTTTCTTCCATATTTTCATGTATGATCACGTGACAAACATTATGCGGCTCAATCTAAACACCAGAGCCAATCGAACATTTTCATTATCCAAAAACGAAAAAAAAGATCGTCCAAAAGTCTTGATTGTTAATTTTGGACTACATTTGAGTTTAGACTATGAAATAAAGAAAAAAGAAGAACCTCAGCCAAAATGCTGGGAATAAATTAACAAATTAATCAAGCTACAAATTTCAGGAATTTCATTTGACAATTGAGTAGACTTCACCAAGCTATGTAAAACTCTCACCTATTCAGGAGATTTTTGCAGAAACTGAGTGGCAAAGAAAAAAAAAAATTATCCAAATTTAAGGGAAGAAAAAATCACCGCCAATTATGGAAGTATTCAGAAAGAGATTCAGGCAAAATTTGGCTGTGGTATTTCCAAGCGTTTCAACCATCAAAATAAAGTGACAACAAATTTCTCACCTGATTTTGTAGATTTGTAACCATTGCAACCATATCTTGACAATTGCCACTTGTCAATAAGATTGTATATGCAATAACATTTCCTTAAGATGAATAGATCCCATAAAATTGAAAATCAATTGGCTTTTATCCCCAACTCCGAGACTACAAACATAGTTCATTCATTGCGTCTGCACCAGTTTAAATTGCCTAAGCAAGCTACCATAGCAATTAAAGACCCATTTATTCAATGCTATCAAATGGACCAATGCAAAAAGTCACCCACTGAGATATTTGGGATTACAGAGTAATTTTACAAACAAAATTAAAAAATACCTTTTCTAGTTTGTGAAAATTAAATATAAACAGTGTTATTTATCCAATCGGCTTTTATCCCCAACTCCGAGACTACAAACAAGGTTCATTCATGGCGTGTGCACCAGTTTGAATTGCCTAAGCAAGCTATCATAGCAATTAAAGACCAATGCTATCAAATGGACCAACACAAAAAGTTACCCACTAAGATATTTGGGATTACCGAGTAATTTTACAAACAAAATTCGAAAATAACTTTTCTAGTTTGTGAAAATTAAATATAAACACTGTTTTATTTATAAAGGCGACATTATATTAATAAAAATATAAACACTGTTATTTATCCAAAATACCAAATCAAAAAGGTCAATAACATAAACCAGATAGGACACAATCAGTTGGGTTGTACAAACATGAAGATAAAAAATTGTTTATGGCACCTTACAATCCATGATAGAATGGTCCGCAAACCCATTATAATGAAACAAGAATTTGGAGAGTACGAAGAAAATAAAAACTTATGTAAAACATCAGGCTACCAGTGCTACCAGTGGTCGGAGCCAATAAATTACTTATGATTTACATATGTTTATTATATGTATTTTGAATTACACTTTACAAAATTTTATGATACATATTCAAGATCAGAAAGAATCAATAAATTGAAAGGCCCCCTCTGTTTTCTCCGGCGAAAAGACAAACCAAATGATTGAGAAAACCCCAAAAAGGAAAAAAGATACTCGAGAAAAATAGAGAGAATTAAATGCAATCCGATCACGCACCAAATGAATTTAACGCCAAATAATTTTATAATCAAACCACATCAACGACAGACTTCCCAATCATAGGATATCCAAAAGCATAAAAAGCCTCCATTAAGAATGAAAATGTACAATAGAATCATAATCCAATACATGTACATCCATGAATGCCAACCTCAATGTGAAGTGTAAACAATGATACATCTCCAAAACAACAATTCTCGAGAAATGGGAACAACAAAACCGCCAAAAACTACAACTCAGAATAGGCCAAGAATGACCAGAAACCCTAGTACAATTAGCCAAACAATGTGAACCAGGAGGAGTACCTGACCAGAAAAGGCACCATTTCCGCCATTGCCAACCTCACAATACCCTAATTTCGCCACCGTGGTGCCCGAACAGAGAGCGTCAGCACACCCGCACCAATAGGTCACGCCATCAGCTCCGCAAACTGGATCAGGGCTAAAACACGATACAGGACACGAAGGCGGCTCGCCATTTGAGGGGCAGAGATGCGAACCAGAAGCCGTGGATTGGTCATTCGAACGTTGGCTTGGTAGATTGATAAGCTGGGGTTGAGCAAGGAGGCAGCAAGCGTGTAGAGAGAGAAAGAGAAGGACTGAGAAGAAGGAAGGAGATGACAGAGAAGAAGCCATGGCGGTGGGCCTGTCGGAGAAGGCCCACCAAACGTGAAGAGGAGATCAGGAAGAGGACCGTCGATTTTCTAGGGTTTCGAACGTCACCAGCAATCTAGGGTTTCAAGGATCTCTGGTTCTTGTAGGGTTTGGAGGTCCTCTGGTTTTCGTAAGTTTCGAAGAATCTGTTTGCTTTTTAACGCGTTTTCACAGGCTTGGAATGGAGAAATCAGGAGTTTCTTCCTTTAGCAAAGGGGACACGAGGAGGACAGGAATGCCCTTAATCTATACGTATAATGACGATTTTATCCATAAACGGTGAAAGAGATAGGGGAATAATAAAATACCGGCAGACGAAAAGATCGGAAATAAATCGGTTTTCTTTCAATACAGTTCGCGATATTATCAATCGTGAATGTTTCATATTTGGTTAAAAAACATGTGCGGAAAAATTGGATATGTAAATCTACCGCAATATAAAATTATGCTTTGTAATTATTGTATAGATATGTTAAGGTCATTAAACATTAATTTTATAGCTTTACAAGTGTCATTAGAGGAATACTAGACAATTTTTTGTTGAAACTTTAAATAACTCTATCAACAATACTTATTCTGTTGTCGCAATATAAAACACACAAAAACATAAAATGAAACAACAAGTCAACATCAATACTAAACATAAGAACTGAGAACCAAGGGATAAGATTATTTTGGAAAGAAAGAGTCAAAAAATGCCCTCAATATAGGATTGAGGTTAATTAAAAAAAAAAAGTGCAAAGACCTAAATATATAAAATAGTGATCCATCCAAAATGCTATGTTTTATAACCAACTGAAATAAAAGATAAAAAGTAAGATATGAAATTAATCAAACTTCTCTATGCATAAAAAAAACACAAAAACAAAAAAAAACAAAAACAAAAACAAAAAACAAAAAACAAAATGCTTAAGCAAATTTGAATCTAACTCCTAGCTACCTAAATCTTTAATATCATTGAATCTCTCTCTTGCTCATTATAAAGACGTTGGGTTTAAAGAAAAGAAAATATTTTTCATTGGGTTACTCTTCCTCTAATTCTACCTATTATTTTGAGATATACGATTATTTTGATTATATTTTTTGTAGAATATGTTGCTTGTTTTTATTGTACACTTTTTCTAAGGGAACTCATTGGTGAAAGCTTTTATAGAACTTTTTGTTAAATCGAGATTTTTAATTTACTCACACTGTTAATGAACTTATCTTTAAACCAAAATTCAATAATATTAAATTTAAAAAGAAATAAAGTTATAGCGAAGAAGTTTTTTGAAAAAAGATAAACTACATTTTTAAATTGGTTCTATTAAAAAAACACGATTTTTTGAAGATCTTTTGAAAAACTCGGAGTTCTAAACGGATTCTAAAAAATTGAAGATTTTTTGAAAAATTATGTTTTAAACGAAGACTTGCTAACTATGGTTCTGGCTAGACCAAGACTCAAACTCGAATAGTATTCGGGTCCAAATTTTGCCCAGACCTCTCAAGTCCTGGATTTGGTCGGATCTATTGCTACCGTATGACTATGAGGTCTTTTTCTTTTTTTTGTTGGCCGATTTTTTTACCATCATATATCTTATGACTGCGCTTCGCCTTTTACCAATAATATTATAAATGTTGGCAATATTGGGATAATATGAACACCTTACATGCGCCTAAAGACACATGATTGCCATCATACACTCTATGACTACCGATATAGGTCGGGTCCGATTGGACCCGAATCCGGATCCAAATAGTATTCGGGTCCAAGACACATGATTGCCATCATACACCCTATGACTACCGGTATAGGTCGAATCCGATTAGACCCAAATCTAGATCCAAATAGTATTCAGGTCCATAATTTGGACCCATGCTGTAACCGGAGGTCAGGTATACACTTCAGGTCCTGGCTCTAGTCAAGTCCATTACCATCACTAGTAACAAAGAGGTAGGAGGGGAGGCAAATTGCGTTGAAAGGGCTGCAGCTCTATCGAAATAAGTAAAGCCGCACCTCATAACTCATCAAAAATTGCAATTCAGTGTTGGAAAACATTTAAATCAATCATCTCATCTTCAACATTATGGTTGCAAAAAAAAAAAATTAAGATTTTAAATTTTAAAAATAGTGTATATTGCAACAAATCATCTAGACCGTCCATTCCATCCTCAAAATAAATGTTCATAAATCCACAAGATCTGTCTTATTTTAAAAAATTTAATTTTATTGTTAGTTTTGAAAATTGATTTTAGAGTCATCATGAAGAATTTTCATGCCAAACGTGCTTTCTGGATGAGGACTTTATTTTGTTTTCATAAAGCCCAAGCCCATAGAAACTTTATGCTTTTAATTAAGACGTACTGGGTTTGGATATTTGATGTTTAATTTTTTTTAAAAAAAATTATTTGCAAGAGAGGTAATTCAAACATTTGATGTATAAGTGGGTAAAAAAAAGAAAGGTAAAAAAAAAGAAAAAGACAAAAGGGACATTTGTAAAATTTGAAATTGGGTGAGTTTTTAAACCCTAACCCACGCACCAAACCTTGGCCTATGCACCACCTGATGTGTTGACAACTTACCAAACCAACCCTCACCATCTCTCTCTCACTCTCACTCTCACTCTCACTCTCACTCTCACTCGGTGACTCGTATCATTTTTAACATAATCTCTAACCTTCCTCCACTCAAGCTCATCACCAGGCAGCTGAAATCTCTCTCTCTCTTTCTCTCATGTTCTCCTTCCTGGTCAAGTTCAATGACATAAATGACCGAAGATTTCATTTTACAAAGAATAAAGAAACAGTGAATTATATCAAAAAAAAAGAGAGCAAATATCATCCGATCATCTGTAATTTTGCTTAGTCAAGAGGATTACCTGTAGTTTCAAAAGCACACAAAAAGCCCTGATCTCTTGCAATTTAATAATTAGGCTTAAATTGTTTCACAGCCATCCTTCCATTGAGTTTCTGATTTGGATACATCACAACCAGATGACACATACAATTCATAAAACATCTTTCTTTCCTTCTTAAATTAATTCATTTTTCTTTTTTCCAACCATTGGGGGATCAGAAGTTTAACAAGAATGGTTTCCACTGAGTTGCTCGACATACCCAATGGATTTATTACTCGTCCAAGGAGTTGTTTGTGGTCTCTTTCTTCACTCCTTCCATGGGTTGGGGACGAGCCCAAGCAATCCTAGAACCAGCTCTGAGCTTCTCAAGAGTGGCCTCTGCATTATTAACATGTGAAAGGATTAACAATAGTATCTTGATAACCTTAAGCAAGACTGTTCTATAGGTTGTACATCGATTTCCATTAACAGTTGTATCTTCTTCAAATTAAGGTACAAGAAGCTACAGGTTATATAACTCAAATGTTATACTATAACATATATAAAGGCCTGTCAAAAAAACAGAAAGATGAACTTACATAGATCTCATTTGATACCATCTGAACCAGGGGGATTCAAATGAAGATGACAAAGGCGAACGGTCAAATGCTAAGGGAATTGACTATTAGCAATGTTTAAAGATAGAAGAGGAGGAAGATACAGTTAGTTACTCAGTATTTGATGACATTGATTTCTTAGCTCTTGGGGTTTGGCCTCTTAACTTTGGTGGTTCGGGGTATGAGGGGTATTAAATCTAATGTCCAAGGTTCAGATTCACACAATGTCATTAACTGTGGAGCTATGATCAACTAAGTTCATAATTTTCAAGTGGTCCTTAATTCCTGGTAAAAAATCATCTAATTTTTAGAACATAACAGATCATGCAAATTGTGCAGGACTATTAGAAAATCAAATGCACCATTCAGACTACAATTTGTTCTTCCATACAATAAATGTTCCAAGCCATATTGTAATTCATAAAGGGTGACATTTATATAAGGCACTCTCCTTATACTGTAGAAGTAAGGTGCACCTCTAATTTTGATTGGAGATGTAATTCCGGTGACTATTAGAAAACCAAATGCACCATTCAGACTACAATTTGTTCTTCCATACAAGAAATGTTTCAAGCCATATTGTAATTCATAAAGGGTGACATTTATATAAGGCACTCTTCTTACACTGTAGAAGTAAGGTGCCCCTCTAATTTTGATTGGAGATGTAGTTTTGGTGCTAGAAATCCTATGATGGCTTGAAAATATATTTTCATCCCTAGTTATGAAATTTAAAATTAAAAAAAAGGTACAAATCAAGCAGATTTATAAACACTTGAAAATATTAAAAATAGACAGTCCAAATAACTTGTACAAGATGCATTACTTTTAAGACTCCAGATTATTATTATTTTTCTTCATATCCATACATTTTGAGGTCGAGATGATTACATAGGAGGACTTTTCAAGATTGAAACACTCCTTTTGAGGACTTTTGAGGTACACCGTACTTCAATGGTATACGGTTGACAGCTTATATAATCCTTTCCCATTCATAAATACAATGTATTATAATGGTGAGCCTTACGTTTAGAAGAACCTACCACCTAGATTTACAAAAAAGAAGATACTAAAATATCGCTAAGAAAAAGAACGCACTGAATTATTAAGACATTACATTTAAAAAAAAAAAACCCAAAAAGCAATTATCAAATTCCTATGTGACTTCTGCTCCAGGAATTTATGTAGTTCAAAATTTCAAATACACTCCTATCTTTTCCTTTTATTTCCTCATGGACAACTCAATAGAACTCAACTTATTATGGATTTAGGCTGAGCATTGCGGCGGTGTTGTGCAAGGCGTTTTTGTTTGATCACTTAATACAATTCTATTTCATGATCCAAAGATGCCTTGTAAAGCAAACAAATAATCGGCGGCCTACGTCCATCTAGAGAAACTGAGAAATAGCATCAGAAGGATGAGAGGAAAGATGTTAATACACTTAATAATTACTTAATAATCAATTTAAATTCATTCTTGCTGATAAAGTGAGAAAGGACCCCATTCCGATGTTACCGTTAGCATGCATGGATTACTAACTTATGTTTGTTTATTAACCATTGCCTCCTCTCATGTTGCCTAGAGTTAAACTGGTAAGCTAGTAAAGTAAAAGCTAAAATCCTTTGCCATACTTCAAATGAAACTGATGTTTACATGATGACTTGAAGCAAATATACCCTAACAAAGACAATGCCACTCAAAAGAGTACTCAATGCCAACAATCGAAAGACTTAATAACAGACGGAGTTCCTTTGACTTATTACTCAAGCTCAATATCGATCTTGACTCGCCAAGCAATCATGCTGGCTCATGTGGCTATTCGACCCGTTTATCATTTAACACTTTTTGACTCGAGCTCAATGAGTCTATGAATTCTGATTGGAATCGCACACCCTACAAGATCAAGCAGCATCAATGAGTGAGCATTTTAATCTCGATCAAACCCAATTTGTAATCAATCATCCATTGTAGATTCCCATCAACCAATAAGCAAAATCAACAAATTCCAAATTTTTTGGGGGACACCAGCTGAGCCTTGTATTGATCATGAAAAATTTAATTTCTAGATTTTGAGACCAAGGACCTAGATTTTTGTTTTCCATATAGTACAAAATTCATGGTTCATTTAACACTTCTTTGGATGTACCCATATTGAAAAAAAGAAGAAGGAAAAAACAAATTATTTTTCTTAATCAATGGCTAATATGAGTAGATTTCACTTCAATAATAACCAAGCTCTAGTTGGCAAAGTTACTATACAGACAAAAAAAAAAACCAGGATAGTTCTAAATCCTTTTCTTTTCTTTTTTTAAATTATGGATAATTCCTAGTCCTTTCTTTCCAAGATGAACTATAAGGCTTTCTTACAAAATTATGTAATAATTACAGAGAGAATCCAGATCAATACAACATCAAGGGCCATAATTATCAAGCAATAGGGGTTTCATCCCAAAAACCCATCATAAATTTCAAGTATCAATCACACCAAGATTCAAGATAGAAAAAATAATCCGAATACAAGATAGCAGGAATCCCAAATTTGGGAGTTCACCAGAAATATAGCTAAAATTACAGTAAAGCTCTGAAAATTAACCTGTGGAATAAAAAATTCAAAATAGTGCATATGAAAACCAGTGGTCTTTGGGGAGAGAGAAATCTGACTACCATCTAGCAGCAGATAGAGAATGCACACGTCTAAAAACCAGATACTAGCATTTCAAGAGCATGGGGTTGAATGCAAAAGGCGATAAATGTAGAGAGAGAGCGAGAGACTGACCGTAAATGGAGAGGGAGTCTTGCTTTGGGATCTTGGAGTGAGGGCGATGAAGGAGTTCAGAAGAGGGGGCCGGTCTCCTCATTCCAAGCATGTACCCACCACCAAATTCCATCACTCTCCCTCTGGTTCTCCCTCTCTATTTCTATTTCTCTTTCTCTCTCTTGCTCTCGGTCTTTCTCTCTCTCTCTCCCTCCTGCGCATTTGCAGGGCAAGGAGCTGAAAATCGTCTAATGTAGAAAAATAAAACCACGAAAAATTCAAAATAGAATTAATAGAATATACCCTCTCTTTCTCAAGCAAGGAAAGGAGGTCTTCAAAATAAAAAGTTAAGAGAATAAACCGTCGCAAGGAAAGGAAGTCTTCAAAATAAAAGTTAAGAGAATAAAGGAGGTCTGATTTTTGAAACTACAAAAATATTTATTTAAGAACTGAAGATCTATTTTTCAAATTAAGGTTATGGTAATTTTAAAGTTGATCGGATTGCTTAAAATCTAAAAAAACCTTTGAGTGTGTCATTTGGCTGCTCCCGCAGGAGCACCGTGTTCCTGCTCAATAACTTCCAATAAACAAAGCAATAACGCTTTCATTTTGTGTCCCGTAAAAAAAAGCGCGGGCTCGGTCTCCTCAAATATTTGAAGTTTTTGAGCAATGGCGCCAAAGTACACCTATCGAAACAATTGGAAAAATATTTTTCCAAATTTTAGTTAAAGGACACGTTTTCTATGCTGCCAGCCCGCATAGTAGAAATGCGGGGTTGGCAATAAATATATTTTTAAATATAATTTGATCTTAATTTTAAGAGAATCTATAATCTTTAATATGGAGATTATAAATATGAAAGAAATAAATAATTTTAAAACTATAAATAATATTTATATTAATACAATATTTGGACTATTAGTTACACTTATTTTCAGATGGACAACCTATTTGCATTTATTTTGAAGATGGATGCTTTTTACATTTCGACTGTATATTATAGAAATACGGTCCAGCCAACTTGAAACAATTATCCTTAGTTAAAATATTGATCGATATATAAGGCATCAATCTTAAACAATCAAAGTAAGACACACTCAAATTTGCCAAAAGTCGAAAAGCCATGCTATGGTCTAAAAATTTTTTTTGTTGTTTTAATTCTGAAATTTAAAACTCAAAAAATAACATTGATCGAACATATCTATAAACACTTAAAAGTATTGAAAATGCATAGTCATGTATTGCAAGTTGTATTATTTTCATTGTCTTAAAATCCTTTTTCATTATATCCATATATGTTGTGGTTAGGATGATCAATTGGAACATTTTTATCTTTAGAAAAACCTTTTCTAGTGGATTTTTTAGGTGAACCTTAATTCGATACTATAATGTTGACGCCTTACAGAAACTGGTAGCAGTATATTAAAGAAAAATTTTACATGAGAGTGAGGCCAAAAAATCAAATTAAAGTGTACCTCAAAAATTCATTGAAAGAGGTTGTTTCGATGACAAAAAAATTCTTCAAATCGATCATCTCGACCTCCAAAAGTATAAACATGAGAAAAAATTGATTTCAAGTCTTAAAAATAGTGCATCTTGTATTGTATTTTCTAGACCGTAAAATTTCAAGATTTTTAAGTCCATAGATCTGCTTGATCTACACTATTTTTTAAGCTTTAAACTATTAGAAATGCAATTTTCAAACTATCACATAGTTTTTTAGTACTAAAACAATTTTTTTCAACACTATTTGAAAATATGCCTTAGATTGTTTAAGGCCTTACCTTATACAAACCACACCCATGTATTAATAAAGTGTGTACATTTAGAGATGTGCAATTCAAATGAAAGAGGGGAAAAAAAAAAAAAAAGAGAGAGAAAGAAGTAAAGGGTGCCTTTCTCTCACTCTCATTATTACTTTTCTTTCTGTCACTGAATTTCTTTAGAAGAATATAATTCTTCTTTCGTAGATGATCTTTAGGAGGATAATTCTTCTTGGGTAGATGGCAAATTGCAGTGTTTAGAAACTCACCTTGGCCAGGTACTTGGGCCTGGCCCGATGAAAGTTAATCAGCCTCGTCTGAACAGGCTCACTCGGACTCGATCAAGTCTTGTTCAAGGCCAAAAACCCTAAAAGATTAGAAGTTTTGAAGAATATAAAAATTCAAACAAGAGATAGTAAAAGTAAATAAAATGTAAATCAACCTTAAAATGTCCAAACTATGGGAACATTTTAAAAATAAAAAGTTAAAAATAAAAAAGGAGATTATGGCAAAACACACTCACCAATATTTTCTAAAAACATCTAAATTAGATACAAAAAAAGTTCTACAATGTTCCATTTGTTTTACAATGTGTTAGGATTTTTTAAATTTTCGATGCACACCAAGCTGTACATAAAACTCGGGCAACTCGGCCTCGCACTACTGGTGCTTTAAGAAATGCTTAGGTAATAGTCACATGCACAAATCTAAATATGCAAAACTGATCAAATAAAAGCTAGTTTTTGTGATCAAGTGCAACAGAAAATTCACCACAGTAGACAGGTCTTCTTTTGTTGATCAAGTGCAACAAAAAAAACCATCACAATCGCATTCCTTCCTTTTTCTCATTATAAGGGGTGAAATCCTTCTGAATTGATCTCAATCGACCAAGGTCAAATTCAGACTTTTACAATAAAAGAACTTTAGAGAAACAGAGACGTATTTCTATAACAAAAGAATGTAATTATTTTACAAAGAGTGGCTGATTTTCTCTAAATGATCCATTGATACTGAACCTCTTCCCCTGTTATCATTCAATCAGTCATATCTCAATATAACACAATATAGACACTCCTTAATAGCAGATTTTTCTGAAGGACGGTCGAATTCATCTGTCTGGACATTAACTCTGAAGAAGTGAGCAAATGAAGGTTGAGTGTGCTGTGCATGCCTCAACCTGGTCATCACATAACTCATCCCTATCTCCAAAACAACAGTCTTCTCAACCTGCTGCATCTTGGAGTGCTAATACTCAAACCTGAATTGAGATAAACACAAACGGTTTATAATGGTATGCATAACCTCCACCACCACCCCCCACCCCCCACCCACCCACCCCCAACCTCTCCTCTTCTCTCGCTTTCTCGTGGGAGGGATCCCATCATTTAAGCACGTAAATGTGAGGGCAGAACTAGGATGAGTGACCTAGACAGAGGCGATATCCCACAACCTATACTTGCTAATCAAAAACTAATCCATGCATGTTCGCGTGCAAGTGGGGGGGTGAGAGAGAGAGAGAGAGAGCCCAACCTGCTTCACCTAATGCTTCTTCAGCTATTGGCTTCCACTGCTCTAAACAGGAATAGTTGATTCCCATACCCACACTGAGGCCTCTCAATAGCTGCACTGTGCGGAGAACAAAGAAAAGCTCTTCAGGGAAAGACTGCCAATAGAAAAGCACGGAGTGTTAACTATAGAATAGCCTGTGAACTATTACCAGCAAGATGCAAGAAATTAATTGCTGTAAGAATTGATAGACCCGACCAATAAAAATAAAGCAAGTCAAGGTAAATCATAATCTAAAAGTACTGCTTCCTTTTTTTCCCTTGAAAGTTAGATCAAATGTTTGGACTTCTGTCCCATATAATATGACGATAATAGACAAAGAATAGAATAGAAGAGAGAAGATTTACTTGAACAGAGATTTTCTTGAGGGAAGAATCATCTGCAAATGGTGTCATGACTTGTACCCCCGGAGGAAGCTTAGTATCGAACAATGTTTGAGCGAGTTTCAATAGTTCGTTTTCAGAATCTGCAGAGACTTTCATAGTTTTCATTCCAAGCTCCCTATGTTGGCAAATTATAAGAAAGACCATTAAACTCAAAAGAAAAACCATAAATTGATTGCATATTGTTAAGGGTGATAAATGACATCGACCTATACTAGGGAAAAGAAAATAAAAATTCCTCTGCTAAAATTGTTGCCATGAGATTAAATAGTTTCTTAATAATAACTGATTGTTTATTCCCATCATATCAATGTAGCTCCGGTCAACTTTTATTTTTATTTTTTTAAAATTGTAACAATGTGGCTTATGTAACTAGAGATAATGTATCACTCTATCAGTCAAGACAAATTTCGTACTCGAAGCTCTGCATTATCATGGAAGTATCACTATGAACAATGGCCTTAATGAGCTTAGCATATCCAAGCCTTAAGTTGTCCGAAAGATGCTTTACTTGGCCATAGTCCAGGAGAGCAACCTGCAAGAAAGAACATTATATATGCAATTTCATTATTGTCAATATGTTTCTTTGAGTGATAATAGAAGAGGATGACATCAAATTGAAGCCAATCTCAGTTTAAAGTATAAAGGATCAAAAGACTTGGGGGGGGGGCGGGGGGGGGGGGGGGGAAGTAAAATATAATAGAATTTCATAGTATTAATGCATGACTGCAGTAATTCCTGCTTCTGCTCGTATTGTTTATCCTCTACGTATCAACATTGATTAAGGGGTGTTTGCTTTCTGGATTACAATCATGGACATGGTGAATTAAGTTCATCTCTTTATGAAGTAATAAAGAGTGCACTTCGACTATTTCATGTCAGCTGCTTCTCAATACAAGGGCCAAGCTAAGGGAAATGTCACACACCACATGTATGCTATACTATTCTGTTAAATTCATTGACTGTGCTTGTATCAAGATCATTTCTCTATGTAGTAAGCTCTTCCAATGCTTAATAACAACTGTATCTTGATACTATAGGGTAAAATAAGGAGAATACCAAACACCGATTTTAAAGTTTCTACCTAAGGTGCAAGCAAATTAGCAAAATGTTGTTTTTCAATGTTGAAAGAAGATATAACAAAATCCAACAATGAAAAACAAAAAATGAAATAAAGGACAAAGAGCTCTCATAACAATCTGAAGCAGTGCCTCAAAACTCACACCCATCCTTGGAACCAGGCAGGGCCTGGGTCCAAGGCAGCAACCAGACTTGGACGAGTCAGAATGGGACTCGGCAGAGTCTACAAAGAATAACAAAGAACCTTGAAAACTGGCTAGATGAAGGTTTTCCACTCGGACACAGTTAGGTGTTGGGTCCGAAAACTCGTCTGAGTCAAAGTTGGACTCACAGAGTTTTAAAATTCTGAAATGAAGATAATGATGGACAAGAAGGAATATGGCTTGTGATAACAGCATTGCTAGGTTCGAGTATTTTACTTGCCTCAGAGTTTTTATAGATTAGGATATTTCCAGGATGTGGATCTGCATGGAAAAAACCACTCTTCAATATCATTTGGCCATATGCTAAAGACAATTTTTGTAATATGTTCCTGCAGCCAAGCACAATTTTAAATAAGTCAATGTTACAACCTTCACATATCGCTAGCTTTCTATGAGAAAATACAACTTAGAGAACAAAATGTTGTTTTGAAACACTAGTATTCAAATAGTTCAGCTCTCAGAGTTTCATGCTAAAAGGGAGGCTGATCCACCTTGAGGTCCACACAGTTTAGACCCAGTAATATTCTTAACAGTTTGAGGTCAGTTGATAATGCAGTCTATAATTAATTGCTCAGCAAGTCACATTTCAAGTAATGATGGGTACTTAGGTCATGGGAAGTAACTTCTGGAGCTAGACACATCATACTTAAATCCACCGACTGTGAAGACAAATATTCAGCACAGAAATGAAGGAAAAATTTAGCAACAAGTTCAAGGTTAGTCTTGCACCATATCAGAATATTAGAGATGAAGCAAGAAAGGGTAAAAAGGCCCCCTTATAATAATGTCAAAACAAAGAAGAAAATAGCTCCCACAAAACCGCAGCGCATCCACACAAGGATTACATATACAAAGCCATACATAGGATGTTCGGTACTAATCAAATATATGTGCATGTAAATGCTAAACAAAGTCCAACCTAAATTCTAGTCAATTTCTTTATAGAACTTAAAAAACATTTATGAATATGCTTATGGGTGGAAACCAGATTATAGTTCAATCTCAATCAGCCAAGAATGAGGGTTTAATAAGATTTTAAACAAAAGAAAATATAAGGCTATTATCTGACAACAACACAAAACAGAAGATTATAGCTCACATTCTTGGATGTAACCTGGGACTCACTTCTTAGCTGCTGTTGCCATCTTCCCACTAGAATCTATGCCTCGTTTCGCTATTTCATCTCCAAGACACAAAATGGGGATTCCATCAATGAACTCCATAATCAAAACTTTCCTGACAACACCATCAAAATTTTCCCATATATTTGAAAAGCTTTATAGCAAGGATCTGAAACATCGTAAGTAACTCAAATAATTCATTTCAAAGGTTAGTTAATCAACAGGTTTTCACACTCCAACAACAAATTAAAAGCAAAAATAATGTAAAACAGCTTAAGAAAGGAAGCATTGGCATTTCATGGAAATTTATTTAAGAAAATAAAACCTGGTAGACATGTGGTAAACTATAAATTTTGGATCATATGATTCAAACCCATAACAGAAATGCAACACAATGAATGTATAAATTTATACTTTAAAAAGGAATAAAAGAGGTACAGATTCCAAAGCATTGCAGACAAACTTGATTCATTGATCCAAAGAGCAATCCTACTCGGGCATGAATATTTTTAAAAAGCTTTATTCGTGAACAACAAATGGAATTAAATTTTTAGCCATCTGCAAATATGTTAAATAAGAAACCACAGAAGACAGAAAGAAAGGAGAATCATAAGTGTGCCACAATGGAAAAATTCTATATATCAATCTATGATCAGAATAAAATGAAGTGACATGATCTTTTACGCAATAAATCTGAAATATTGTTGGATATTTTTGCACCTCGTCACCATGTGCGGAATGACTCGTGGCACTCGAACAGGAGGCTTTTTGCTATTATTTCTTAGAAAACATGAGATTTTATCCATATTCTCAGCCTCTCTTTGAAAGTCAAATTCATAACCAACCTACAAGGGAGCAATGGGTTGACATACATAAGAAGTATAACTTAACCAGAGAGATAATAATAATTTCAATAAGAAATACTAGAAATGCATCACTACAATATCACATGTCAAGCAGAAAGAAAGAATTAAAAAGTTCCCTCAGATCAGTAAAGTTAGCAACATTTATATGAACTATAAAAAAACCAAATAAAAGTGTATAAAACTACATAGGAATTTACCTAAACATGTAGAAAGGAAAATACCTGTTTCTCTATCTCAGTAGTTATTGAGACAATATCGAAATTTATATCTGTGTTTTGCAAATACAAAGCAAATGCCCTCAAATTACGAATATCTGTCATCATTAAATGCTGAACTCCAGGATGTTGCACCTGCAAGAACCTAATTACAACTGAAAGAGCCAACTTGTTCATTTTTCAAAAGACGAATGAGTAAACTTTGCTTACCTTGACTGCAACATCATCCTTTGCACCTCTAATCCTTGCTTTGTGTACCTGTTTTACGGCACACAAAATAATCCATTCATGAACTAAAAGAGTCGAAACCACCGGATAACCCATAGGAGGTGCATTATGTGTGTATGAGATTAAGACTTTTAAATTTATACTCATGCACTCAAGTATAAAGCCAAGAAAAGTAAAAGGCAAGGAGTGGTATTTATACTTATTTTCATAAATGGCAAAACTATATTGAAAAAGAGATGTACGCAAAAAAGGCTGAAGCAAGCCATGTAAAGTGAGTAATGCATCTACGAGAATAAACAAATTATTTTTTTTAAAGAATAAACAAATTATTGTGTATTCCAAAAAAATAAACATTTTAACGATATTCAAACAACTGAGGTATAGCAGAATTTATGGCCAAGAATAGTAACACAGAAAGAATGGAAATTTGGATGAATCAATACTACAATTCTTTAATATGAGATTTAAACAGCAAGTGCTAAAATAAACGCTATGAAGTGAGTCATGTATCTTGATAATCAACATGGTTTTTTATCTTTGAAATTAATCATTTATGTTTATTCTTGACTCAGTGAAGTATAATACAGTACAACCCAAAAGGCAATAGGACAGCAACGGAAATTTAAATGAATCAATACTAAATGTAGAAATGAGATTTAAACATAAAGGACTGAAATAACCTATCTCAAAAATATATCTCACAATAAACAACTTATAGAGTAGGGCCAAAAGAAGCAATGTCGAAGCGGAGGAAATTTCAGAGAAATACAGAAAATGAATAAGAGATTTAAGACTAAATGAGTGACGAGGTACCATAATGATAAGAGTGATAAGAGGAAGACATTATTTCATTAAAGATGTAATAAACATATTTGTGAGATAAGACTAACCTGAGCTATGGATGCAGAACCAATAGGGTCTTTGTCAAATCTCTCGAAAATTTTGTCAAGGCTAGAACCTAACTCTTGCTCTAGGACTAACTGGACAACATCGAAAGGCGTAGAAGGAGCTTTATCATAAAGTGTGACCAATCTTTTCACCCAAGCAGCTGGGGCAAGGTCTGGCTTCCCCACTATCTGAGCAACCTGACTTCAAATTTGATCAGAAAATCAGAAACCAAAATTCCATAAAAAGAGCACAAAATAAGAAAGAAACAGTTGAAATTTTAGGAGAGGTTGAAGGCTAAGACATGGAATTGGATGGAAAAGTCACAGAGGGGAAGAGAGAGAGAGAGAGAGAGAGACAGAGAGGGTATAATTCAATCATGAAAGATGGAGGAGAGATGGAAATTAATCTAAAAATTGGAGAGAGAACAGACAGAGCTTGGGCATTAAGAGAGAGAGAGGTTTGAGTGACAGTTAATAAATGACAGGTTAATTAGTCAAAGTTGAGGAGAGAGAGAGAGAGAGAGAGAGAGAGAGAGAACAAAAACTTTTAAAAATCCACATTTTTTCCAGAAAATTAAAGAAGCCTGAAAGGCTGAAACAATGAATATTACCTTTAAGAAAAAACCCCCAAGTTCAGAACACATTGCATATATCTTCTCAGCCGCGAATTCATGCTGCCTCTCCCACAATATCTCCTCTTTCTCTCTATCTTTCACGAACCTCGATCGAAGTTGACAAAACTAATGAATTTTGGACACACAAAGGAAACACACCATCACAAATGACGGAACAATAGTTGTTCACATAATATTTGAAAAACCCAAATGAATAAAGCACAGAGAGAGAGAGAGAGAGAGAGAGAGAGAATCTCGTATTATCCAAAAAAAAACCAAATTGAAAGGACGAGAGAGAGTTTGTGGGAAACAATCTTGTAACATTTGAAAAAGCCATCTCAAACAGAGAGAGACCCATCTCAAACAGAGAGACAGAGAGTCGTAAAAATCTGAAAAAAACCAATTGCAAAAGAGGAGAGAGAATGTGGGAGAGAAAGAATCTTGTAACATTTGAAAAACCCAACTGTGAGAGAGAGATAGAGTAAACCTTGTAACTAGTGTAGATATGAGAAGCTCTGAACCAGAACTGGAGCGAGCGTTCCCATGGCCTGAAGGCGCTAGAGAAACGGTCATGGAGGTCTTGGAGCACAAGGACAGGCATTAGCAGAGATGGTGAGAAGGATGAGAGAGAAAATGGAAATTTAAGAGTGAGAAAACTGGGTCCATCTGTTTCTTCCCTGATATCCTCAAGACGCGGCAGAGAGCAGCTCAAAATGGAGGGGAATCTAAAGCACATGAGGAGACGGAGAGGGTTTCCAAAAATGGTTTAATACGGCTGCAGCCCTGTCAAAATAAATAATGCCTCAGCTCATAGCTCATCCAAATTTACACTCCACGCGTTAAAAAACCTTTACATTTGATCACCTCGGCGTCAATATTTTATGGTTGTGTAAAAATAATTAGGATTTTATGCTCTATATATTATAACAAATTATTTAGATGGTCCATTACCTTAAAAAATAAGTGTCTATATCTACGGACGGTTTATATAAAGCCTAGGCTCTAAACAATTAAATTAGAGCCTATATAGTGTCGAGAAATATGGTTTCAATATTGAAAATCTTTTTGGTAGCTTTGAAATATATTTTTATATTTATTTATAAAGTTTAAAGCTTCAAAAATAGTGTAGATCAACATATCTATGAAAATTAACGGTCCAAAAATGCATTATAAAATATGCTATTTCTAAAACTTACAATTTATTTTTTTTTCCATGTCCATGCATCTTGAGGTCGAGATTAAAGATATTTGGACATCAAAACAACTTCTTCTAGTGAAGTTTTTGAGGTAGGCTCAAATTTGATTGTTTAGAGGCTCAACTCAATATAAACTTTTCCCTCGCAAGATTTGTGCTATTTTTTTAGTTTCAAATCTTATTATCCGTGTTGGATATTGATTTTAGATCTGTCATGGATATTTGGACTCGTTCTTTACACGACCAAGCCCGCATCCGTAGAAATGCAGGCCTCTTAATAAATCTATTTTTTGATATGGATTTTAGGATTTAAAATTTACAGACACGTAATCTTTAACATAGAGAACATGAATGTAAATAAATTTTAGAAACTAGAAATAACAATTTTGGACCGTTAGTTTCACCTACTTGCATCCATCTTTAAAATGGATGCTTCAAACTTTCTGGATTGCATATGTAGAAATGCGGTCCAACCCGCATGAAACAATTTTTTTTGATATTTTCATCACCGAAAGTATTTTTCAAGTGAAGATTTGAGGTGAGGCATTATTTTGTTTCTATAAAGCTTAGGCCTTATAGGAAGCTCATCCTACAATTTCAGTCCTCCAATTCATTCCTTTAGCTCTCGCTCCTATAGAGAGAGAGAGAGAGAGATTTGTTATTTGAGGCTCTCTATTATCGAGAGAGTTATTTTCTCTCTCTAAAAACATCCGGGCATGTTTCTATGTTCTTAAAGGACCATTGTCCATTTCTACTCCCCAGGTGGGAAGAGTTATTTAGAACGATTTGTTTTTTAAATTTGAAATGATTATTTTAAAAAAAAGAAATTTGAGATCTCGAAAACTTGGATCTCAACATCTGAAAATCGGATAGTTTCTATTCAATATTGAGAATTTTTTTTTTTTTAGTGCATAACGTCCGGGCATGTTACTATGTTCTTAAAGGAGCATGCATAGTCCATTTCTACTCCCTCGGTGAGAAGAGTTGTTTAGTATGATTTTTTAAAAAAAATTGAAATAATTACTTTAAAAAAAAAAAAATTTTGAGTTCTCAAAAACTTGGATCTCAACATTAGGAAATTGGATGGTTTCTATTCAATCTTGAGACATTTTTTTTTTTTAAGTGCATAAAAGGTGCATTTAAAGATTTTTTTTATTGACATTAATCTATGTTGAAAAAGTTACGTCTTCAAAACTTAAGTTCCTACAATTAATTATAGGCCGACATTTTACTCAATAGAATGAATGATCATTCTAGGGAGCAGGATATGTATATTCACTCTTCATGCGGAGGAAGTGGCTTTTGGGTTCTCTGTCATGACGTTCAATGCGCTCTTCCTAAAAGTTTCTTATTTTGGACCATCTGGCAATGATCCCACCAGGCTCGGGGCCCGGGTGTACCGGACCTTCAATGATCCAAATTTTGAATGTGGACACTATTTGGGTCTGGGCCCAGCTGGACCCGACCGGTCGCCAGCCCACTTTATCTCTCTAAGATATGATAGAGTTGTGTGCAGTTAGAGAGAGAGCTTATTTCTATTGTCTCCCTCTCTTTTCCGGCCTTGATTTTGTCCCCCGCTCTCTAAAATGAACCAAACCGTTACCTTGTTTTTCCTATGCCCATCATACTTCTCTCTCGCTCTAGCTTTTTATAAGACTGACATACGTTTTATTCAAGGGTGCGGTTTGTATAGAGCTGAGGTTCTAAACAATCAAAGTAAAGCACACCTTGAAATAGTGTCGATAAATGTAGTTTCAATATTAAAAGATTTTGTAATAGTTTTAAAATAAATTTTTATCTTTATTTATAAAATTTAAAGCTTAAAAAATAGTATAGATCGAGCAAATCTACGAAAATCTTGAAAATTGATGGTCCAAATATGCATTACAAGATGCACAATTTCAAACACTTTAAATCTTTTTTTTTTTCTCATGTCTATGCATCTTATGTTGAGTTTATGTAGCTTTTAAAGGCCTTATGAGTGCTTGTGAAATGAAATGAGATAGTAGAACATAAACTCAATGGGAGTGTGGTCCCTCGTGGACCACACTAAGCAAACGATGTTTGCAGTTACTGGACTGTGTTTGACGATCTAGGCCAGTCGGTTGGGAAAAACTCATGTTATCTAGACATAAAGAACAAACCGAGAAGGGTTCTAATGGGTTAGCCCTTGATAAGGTCGGAGAATATGCCCGAATGAGTGAGCCGAGGGATTATGTGACCCTTGTGTGTGATGGTGGCCGACTGAGACATGGGTCAAAACCTCATCCATGTTCCATCACACGGCATGCATATTGATGGATCATTCGAGAAAAGTCAGATATCCACCTTTGGGTGAAGCGTATGCATGTGCGAGAGAAACCCCTATGCGTCATAGAGCTGTGGTCGCATCACGTTGTGGTGACCTTAACTTGTCTCTAAGGGAGGACCTGTAATCCAAAGACTGGTTCATCGACCTGACTTTGGTGACCCATGAATGAACCCCTGCTTGAACTGTGGGTCATGGGAAACACTGGGTCGGTCTGATAAAGTAAGTATCGTTTGTAGTCCACAGTTGAGAAATGTAGTTTCAATATTAAAAGATTTTGTAATAGTTTTAAAATAAATTTTTATCTTTATTTATAAAATTTAAAGTTTAAAAAATAGATTAGATCGAGCAAATATACGAAAATCTTGAAAATTGATGGTCCAAAAATGCATTACAAGATGCATAATTTCACACACTTGAAATCTTTTTGTTTTTTCTCATGTCCATGCATCTTATGTTGAGTTTATGTAGCCTTTAAAGGCCTTATGAGTGCTTGTGAAATGAAATGATATAGTAGAACATAAACTCAGTGGGAGTGTGGTCCCTCGTGGATCATACTAAGCAAACGGTGTTGCAGATACTGGACTGTGTTTGACGATCTAGGCCAGTCGGTTGGGAAAAACTCATGTTATCTAGACATAAAGAACAAACCGATAAGGGTTAC